CCCCAAAACCCCAAAACCCCAAAACCCCAAAACCCCTTTCAAAGAAATTTAATTTGAAAATTAAAGATTTTTACTAGAATGAAGCCAATGAAGACTACTAAATCAGGTAAGGGCCTAATTGAAGGCCATACAGAGGAATCTATTACAAATATTTTCTTTAAGGGTCCATCTAAAGAGTCTTGGGATAATTTATTTGTGACGCCTAGTCGAGAATACTTCGGAATGTATGGGTGAGCTTATCTAAAATAACATTGTCCTATAATTACCATAAATTTAGTGATTAGTACATCCGAGCTAGCGGACTCTTCAATAAAGATATGAGATAATTGTTGAGATAAAGCTTATTTGAAACTTCTGTGTCTAGCTAATATTTACATTGTGTAGCTGCTAGAATTCTTGGGAGAACAACGAGGTATTTATCAAAGTCAAAGAAGCCAGGACAGCCCAAGAAGTCTGAGATTCAGAATATTATTGTTAAAGAGATTGATATGAAAAAATATGCTTCTTCAAGGCCAACTATCAATGCTCATAAGGTAGGCAAGAGCTTGAGAGAAATAATTTCAGAAAAATTCATGAATAAATTCGATTTTAGAAAACTATGAACAATCAGAAGTTTTCCACAAATTTAAAAGAGATTATCACCAAACCTTCAAGGCTAGATTCAAAAGGAGGATCTCCCAGAGGGACCATCACACAGAAAAAACTAAATAACAAAAGATCATATGCATCAAATTCCAGGTCAAGGATAGTAAAGCCATTTCGAGCACCTGATGAAAATGATAATTCAGATCATGAATTTACAATGGAGAATCCATACCTCAAAAGATCCACAGTAGGAACGACCTCTAGTGCTAGGCCGAAGGATATACATAGCAATATAGATGGATATTCTCAGAGCGATTTGTGGGACAAAGAAGAAAGCAAAGGATATCTTCAAAATAGTAGGAAACTTTTAGATAGATTCAAAAGAAGCCCAGACCCTCGACATGGTACTTTCCGTCTGATCTGTAGACACCAGGAAGAGTTTTGAGTCAAGAAGTCCTCCAACTAGGTCAAGAGGAGATAGGATCAAGGTAATCACTTCTAAAATTGTTAAAAATTCCAATGTTAAATCAGTCAATAAGAGGAAGCTTGGATCTGTCAGTGGGAAAAGTCCCAAAAGGGTTCATTGTGCCCAGATAAGGCTTGATAATGAAGTTGATCACCAGCAAGACAAAATTCCTGAAGTTAACTCTGTAGTGTCTAAGGAAGTCAAGAAATTAAACCTTTCTTCTTCTCAAAATTTGCATGAACCGATGATGAATTATGCCACAGAGGAAGAAATCGTTGAAATTATAGAACATGAGGTTACTCCTTGCTTTCGAGAACCTACTGCAATAAATGCTCTTTCAAAGACAACAGATAGATGTCCTGGGGAGCTCACTCAGCACTCTCAAAAGGTAATATCATCTGAAAGAAAATATTCTTCCAAAGATGATCCTTTCAAAGCGATTCCAGAACAAAGCGAGGGTTTTGCAACTTATGATGATAGAACTGGCATGAATTCGAGTGAGAAATTAACAAATAGAAAGATCATTCAGACAATTGGAAATCCAAGCACTCTTCATCTGAAGAAGTCTAACATGAGAGATCGTCAGGTACAACCTCTTTTTATCTTTAGGATTTGATGGAAAGAGGAAAATCAAATAAGGAACACCGCAAGCCTAGATCTACTCTGAGAGCTCCTAATAGCACAGAAAGAAAGCTAGTCAAAGACAATAGAAATAAATCCTCTTGAGCCAAGACAGAGCAGAATGTATTCTCCCCTGCCAGGTCTATTGAAATAGTTAAAGAAGCGGAGGAAAAGGAACAAAAATTTCAAGAACAACTTGACGAAAAGCAAAAGATGCTGGAGAAATATGAATCAATGCTCCAAAAAGTCAACGTTGAGTTTCAAAATACTCTTGATCAAAACAAGAGTCTAAATGAGAAGATCTCAATGCTTGAATTGAGATGTCTTCGTGCTGAGAGCAAGGTTAATGGACCCCAAGAGATAACAGATACTCAACAATACTCACTCAAGAGGCAGATTGATGAACTTATTTTAGAGAAAAATGAAATTCACCAGAACTCAATGGAACAAATCAAGAGTAAATAATGAAGAAATAGATAAATTACAGAAGATAAAACTTGAGCTTGAGCAAGCACTTGCGAGACAAGCCGAAGAGATTGCTGAATCTATCAAAGAATCAGTGAAGACCAAAGCAACCCTAGAAGAGCTTCAGAAGCAAATTAGTACGCAAAATCATGAAATTAAGCAAAAATATAATGGGAGCAACACAGATGTGAATAACTACGATCTTTCATCTCAAACTTTACGTAGAGAGCTTGAACAAGTTACCTTCCAGAGGGATGACCTTGTAGAACAGAACAAAGCACTTAAAGAGCAAAGTTGGAAGGATGACTTGGCAACAAGACAGATATTAGCAGAAAATGAGAGCCTCAAGAGAGAAGTTATTAACCTTAGAAGTAACATTGAGCTATCAAGGGAGACTGAATCTGAATGCAAAGCTGAAAATACATATCTAAAGGAGACTTCCTTGGCTCAAGAGAGAAAAGTATTTCTTTATCAGAACATTATTGCCCAAGCAGATCAGTTTCATATAAACTTATCCAATAATTTACAAAGCTCACTTGAGTTATTGAGAACTTCGGATGAAGTGAATAGAGGGCTAGTCCTTATAAAAATTGAGAAAATGCTGGAAGATGTTAGAAATTATAGACTTAAATCTAAGAGTAAAATAGAACAAATGTAAGATTTTTGGAATATTCTTATAGGCTGCTCCAATCTCCAGTTCCAAGTTCATTCGAACTTCAAAAGAAAGCAACTGACTTAAAGTACAATACAAATCCATTGAGTTATTCTCAGGATACCTTCTCAGGATTTAAGCTAGATATGAATTTTTCACAGCCTCGAAGAACAACAGGGATTGAAATACCTTCTTCTAGAGGTCTTAATACTAATATTCAACAAACAAAAATGTCAACTCAAGTTGATCAAGAAGAGTATGTTATTTCAAGATTTCTCTAATTAATTTTTAGTAAATCTATAAGGCAAGCAGTTCCAGAAAAGCTTCCTTCATTTATTGATCCAACTCAAAAAGCCAAGAAGGATAAACTAGATCCGGCCTTAATGAAGCCAGCTGGAATTAGGTCGTCGCAGGAGAACCAATATTACTAATCCTCGCTAACCATCCCAAATTTCCTTTACCCCCTCCACTTCCCAACTGATTTATTTTTGTGCTAAATTCAAAATTCCCCTCACAGATCGGGGTTTTGGGGTTTTGGGGTTTTGGGGTTTTTGGGGTTTTGGGGTTTTGGGGTTTTGGGG